TACACACACACACACACACACATATGTATTCTCACTGAGTTTATTGGTACATTTTAGGTATACAGTACAGTTACATTTATCATTGGGATCTTGTACCTTTACATGACAGGTCTTGGTTCTCATTTTTTCCCCATACCCCTGCCCTCCCTTTGCCCCTCCTCCCTTCCCTATTTATAAAAACTTTATTTCCATTTTTTTGTTTTCCCATTTTTTTCTTTTCCCTTCTTTTCTTTTTTTAAAAATTGAGTTTATTGGTATATTTTAGGCATACAGTGCAGGTACATTCACTATTGGGATCTTCTGCCTTTACATGACAGGTCTTGGTTCTCATTTTTTCTCCTTGTCCCTGCCCTCCCTTCACCCCCTCCTCCCCTCCCTGTTTACAAACACTTTATTTCCATTTTCACCTATTTTTTTTCTTTTCCCTTATTCCCTTTCCCCTACCCTTCCCACCTTCCCAACACCTTTAGCCCCTTTCTTCCTAGTTCACATTGTCAATTATCTCATTAGGATCTTATGTAATATTATAGTTTTCCACACCAGAGACACTATTTGATATTTACACATGTGTGACTTATTCTTTTCCCTTATTTTCTTTCCCCCACCCTTCCTGGGAAGGATAAATATATTTTACCACAGTAAACTATAAATCAAGACAGTTTCAAAAGAAATTCAGATTTATTGATCCCTAAGTAAGATAATAGTTAATTCAATAATGTTTAGAACCTCTGACTTAGAAGGAAAGTGTCAATGTGATTAGCAAATACTTACCTGGCTACTTTCAGCCTCAGTGAGAATCTGATTCTACATATTCCTTCCAGCCAAGAAGGCCAGAAACTATTTAATAAGACTGTGTCCTTGCCACATACTCTGTGGCTGATATAACCTTTTCCCCCTTAGCAGGATTCACTAAGGTGTATCCTCCTAGCCCTAGCATTGTCTCTAGTTGGAGAGACCATTTCAGCACAGTTCTTTCCATTCCAGGAGGAGGCAGCAATTCCTCTGGAATTAATGTTGGGCTATTCTGTGAGGACTCCTAGCATGGTTGGGACAATGATGCTACTCCAAAATCTTTCCTTTGGTCCATCTAGCCAAAAAGCTTCTTTCTTTTGTATACATTTGATATTAAAAGGGAAACATATTTAATTTAGTGAACCACAAAGTTTGGCTCAGGAGACCTGGACTAGCCTGCTTATAAATTATTGACATTTGATCTTAGAAAAGCACACTGCAATCTTGTCAAAAGGAAGTATGCTTGAGCAGATTTGTGACCTGAAGTTTTTCTGGCTTCAGAACACCAAGGAAAAGTTTAAAATGCTTCAAACTTCCTAAAATGACAATTTTCAAAAGAGCTTAGCATATTTGGCAAATACATTGGAGCTTCAAACAGGCTGAACCTGAAATTGACAAGAAAAAGCCCTATATCAGTATATAAGCTCCAGCATCAGACAACAAAATCGTGGAACCAAATGCTTCATCTTTTAATGAAGATCTCTAAGGGAACCAGTTTTGACAGTGACTGAAAGGAAGGAAAGCAAACTTTATATGGGAAGGATAAGTCCAGGGAAAGTGTCCATCGCCACATATGCCCTAACCAAGGAGAAAGCTCATATGAAACTTTTCTCAGTATTCAGTTTTCATCAATAGCCCAGAGAAGTTTCATTTTTAAGAGTTAGTGTCTGCTCAGTTTGGCATAGCTAAGGTCTAGAAAAATGCTTTAAATTAAATTATTAATTTTAATTAAATTATTAAGTAAAATTATGTGACCTTGCTGACTTTGGGTGTTTGCTTTGTTTGCATTTTTGGCTATAAGAATAAAGCAATATAAATAGTCATTATTGCATGTCAGCCATATTTTCTCTTTTTATTTGTGATGCATAGAATTGAAAAATTTTAACCATAGGATTCTAAAATTAGATATGTACTATGATTTAATTGTGTGTGTATGTCTGAATATGTAAATATGTACACATACACATATATACACAATTCTTAAGCTAAGACTTTGTATTATTTTTAAGTCACAATATGGAATTTGTTTATGAAATTTAAACTAAGATTAAAGGAAGGAGGAAGGTATTTCTTTTGTCCAAAATGTTATAGCTTAGAAATTGATAATCCTGATTTAAAACTCTAGTCTTTCAAGTAGGCTTCAAATGTAATAAGCATTTCTCTACCATCCCTTCTCCCCACCATAAACATGCTACCTGTTAACCATAGTGAAATATGAACACATCATAGCTTGTCACATTTTTTCCTTGAGTACTCTGTGGTTTCTCTCTCTCTCTCTCTTTCTCTCTCTCTCTCTCTCTCTCTCTCTCTCTCTCTCTCTCTCATACCAGGGGTAGAACTCAGGACATTATACTTGTAAGGTTGTGGTGGAACCACTGAGCTATGATCCTTGTCCACTTTTTTTTATATATATACCCTGTACCCTCCACTTTCACATTTCTAATAGGCGAATTCTCTTTATCCTTAACTCTAAATTAAATAGGTGCCTCTTCTAAAATGGCTTCCATGATTCATTATTCTCTTCCCCTATGTTAACATACCTTTGTATATATTATTTCCTATGGTTTGGACATGGCTTGAGTATCCCTCCCTAAGTTTCATGTGTTGGAAGCTTGGTCCCTAATGTGGCAGGGTGAAGAGGTGGTATGAACTGTAAGAGCTAGGCCCAGTAGAAAGTGGTTAGGTTACCAGAAGCACTGCCCATAGAAGAGATTGAGGTTGAGTGAGTCAGTGCCCCTAAAAGTAGATTGCAATAAAAGAGTCAGAGTAAGTAAAGTCCTTGAATCGTTTTTCTTCCCATCTTACTACATGATCTCTTCCTCTCACACAGCCTGCAACCATGACGCCATCTGTCATCCTGTGACACAACAGAAGGCCTTCACAGTAGCCAAGCAGAAATCAGCTCCATGCCTTTGGATCTCTGAAATTTCGAGTTAAAGAAATCTATACTTTGCAGAATATTTACTCTGAAGCATTTTGTCATGTCAATGAAAAATTGATTAATGCATCACTGCTATGAGTACTTGGGTTATTGTCAAAGTTTTTAATATACACAAAAATTTTAAAAATATGTTCTTAAGTGATATATGAGCACCTATGTTTATAGAGGCACAGTTTGTAATAGCTAAAACTTGGAAACAGCCCAATTGCCCATCAGTTGGAGACTGGATAAAGAAGATGTGGTTTTCCTCTAAAATGGAATACTACTCAGCCATAAAGAATGAGAAATTAGAATCATTCAAAAGAAAATGGATACATATTAGGGATATACTCCTAAGTGAAATAAATATGTCACACATGTGTAAATAGCAAATAACTTCTCTGGTGTGAAAAACTATAATGGTACATAAGATCCTAATGATATAATTGACAATGTGAAACAGGAAGAAAGGGGCTAAAGGTGTTTGGGAAGTGGGAATGATAGGGGAAAGGTAATAAAGGAAAATAAAACTATGAAAAAAATGGAAATAAAGTGTTTGTAAATGGGGAGGGGAGAAGAGGGTGAAGGGAGGGCAGGGACCAGGCTAAAAAATGAGAACCAAGACCCATCATGTAAAGGGGTACAAGATCCCAGCAATGAATGTAATTGTACTGTGTACCTAAAATGTACCAATACACTCAATGTGAAAAAAATAAAATTATGTTCTTACTAAAGTTAAAGTATTATCGATAAAGTTAAAGTGTTGCCTCCCATTCCTCCTTTTTACTCCTCAGATTAAAACTTTTTTTTTTGATGAATGGATAATATTCATGTGTGTGTGTCCCCACAGATATGATAGGTAGTATTTGGATTTTGTGCAAATTACAAATTAAATGATAGTACATATATTGCTCTGAAAATTAATGATATCTTTGTATATGTGTCTTGTCTATTAATTTGTAGAAGACTTTCATGCATGTTATTAGTGAGTGAAATCCCTTAGTCCAAAAATGATCTGTATGAATTCACAAATATGTGTTCATATGTTTCCATATTGGTGTGTCTTTGTCCTTTTTCTTTTAGCTGGAACAAAATTTCTGATCTCCACAACTTACAGGATGAGTTTATTTGGGTTTATACCATTTGGGGGTTTCAGTCCTTCCCAGCTGACTCTGAGGCAGGGGTACATAATGCAACAGGCCTGTCATGGAATAAAGCTGCACATATCATTGCTATTGGAAGCAGAGAGAGCAGGGAGCAGTGGGGGAGGAAGATAAGCCCTTCCAGGTCAGGTCCACAGGCACCTACCTCTTCCTACCACCAAGCCAGCTCTAGCTCCCCCATGGTCCAGTTGCTTTCAACAAACTCCCACCTCTCAGTATTTGAGGCTAAAATGGGACAACCAGATATAAACCATACATAGCTAGGTTCATCCAGGTATACTTCTTCATTTCTTCTCTTGCACCTCGTTATCCTCCAACAGTGCTTCAACATAGTCAATGTATTAATATATGCCCATTGCATAAATTAACATTGACTAGTATGTACCCATGTTGTTTTTTCATAACTATAGAAAGACTATGGGGTCAAAACAGGGTGAATGAGTAACAAGGTATTTAGTGTCCATAATCCTAGAAAAATGATACATTTATACTACAATGTACTTCCCTCATATGTTAGAATAGAAGGGAATTTCTGCAGTAAATTTCCCCAGAAAGTAATACACTGTGCCAATTTTCTTCATTCCCTCAAAATAGTTTCCTGATTAAAGGGATTGATCATAGTGATCAGTCCATTTAATTTGTGTTTATTTTAAGATGAAGAAATTAAGAGAAGTTTTATTTCTTCTTAAGAATTGTTGGATAATTGAAAGAGGTTATTGGAAATTACTGAAGCCAATCAAAAACAGCTTGGTGTCATGTATTTTTTATCTTATTGTTATGAAGCATATTGCTCATTATAGTCTAAAAATTAGCTCAAGTTATTTTCTGCCAGATAGTGGAAGACAATTGAGCATAAATATTAACCAGTTTAGTATTATATAAATGACAATCTTTCCTCTCAAGTGGTAGAAGTGCCTCTGGAAAAGAGAAAAAAATGCCTGGGTAGCAAATTTTCCTCAGGTATGTATCTTCAGTAGATTAAAAGGCAAAGGGAAAACAAACTCTCAGTCACTGATATCCCCTGTTCCCCCATTACTGGGGATTGATATTAAGGCCTCTGCACTGAGCTACGTACCCAGCCTGCCTGCCTCCTCTTTTTCTCTCCCTCAATCCCTCTCTTCTTTTGAGAAAAAAATGCCTGGGTAGCAAATTTTCCTCAGGTATGTATCTTCAGTAGATTAAAAGGCAAAGGGAAAACAAACTCTCAGTCACTGATATCCCCTGTTCCCCCATTACTGGGGATTGATATTAAGGCCTCTGCACTGAGCTACGTACCCAGCCTGCCTGCCTCCTCTTTTTCTCTCCCTCAATCCCTCTCTTCTTTTTTCCTCTC